GATTCATGACAGTAACATTTGGAGGTGACACTTGACACTTTGCAGTGCTGCACTAAACATGACATAAGCCTCAGTTACAATCGGACGCACGACTTTTGGGATCGTACATCTTTTGTGAATTTTGGGTCCCGTGGAGGCCTTGGAGGTCATAGAGGAAAGGTTGCAAGGGTCCATCATCATCACACATCATGACATCTTGGTGGTGACAGCTCGCCTGCGGTGTCACTGTCAGCCAGTACTGACTTCCAGCTGATACCAGCCAGTAGCATCTCCAGAGACCGACCCGCTACTCCAACGGAGACACGTACTGGCTGTAACACTGATATATATTTATTCACTAATGATTACCTCCTAACAACATTAATGTTATGTCCCAATATAGTGTGAGATCTCCGCATCAGCGATAATGTTAAGTTATGAATTAGATTATGCTGTGTGCATCTGTATTTGTTTGTTTATTTAATTTTGCACCTATAGTTCAATTTTTTTTACTAGCAGCAAGAGGGCAGTGCTGCCATTTTTGAGTGAGTAGGTGTCAGCTCAGGGCTGAAGAAGAGAAGGAGGCTTCATTAGTTGGTCCTGGGCAGGTGTGTTTCCTTTGTTCCTCATTGTGCTGATGACCGCAGAGACGCCACTGGTAGGTTGAGACAGTTTCAACTATATTCAAAGGATTACATTGTAATTGCTAATTTGAGTTATGGTATGTTGGACGTTAAATGATTGTTGATAGATTAATTAGTTAATTTAATATGGGTTTGTGTTTCTTTATTTTAAGGTTATCAACTATTGACCACTCAGCCTGATTCCTTTTTGAAAAAAAAAATGAAATAAAAGATGGAAATGAGTGAAGTTGACCAGCGTCCTCTGTGATCGTCAATGCCGAGCCGAGTTTAGGCAGACAATGAAGTTCATGACCAAATAACTCGACAGATAAAGCCAAGCGTCACGCTGTGTGTGTGTGTGTGTAACTACCGCTGGTACAGGCGGTACAATGCACCCCGGTGCTGTAGGGGGCCTGCTCTTGGGCCTGCTCACCATCTCCTGTGTCAGCCTCCTTCAGCCATGTTTGCACAGCATTGCTTTGTATCTTACCATACTGTCACTGCTGTGACTGCAAGGCGCTCTTTCTCTCGAAACTCAAACTCATCAAAACATATTTGAGGAGCAGTACGGGACAGGAAGGACTCAGTGGGTTGGCAATGCTCTCAACAGAGAGCAACAGAGTCAGGAATTTGGACTTAAGCGATGTTGTCAGCGACTTTGCTGAACAGAAGGCTGAATGAATGAACTTTTACTGGGTGAGTACAGTTCAGTGTTTATTGCGCATTGGGATCAATGATTTGCTCCGCTGTTCGCAGAGAATTCGTAGAATCTTTTTGGCATGTCAAAGATCCTCCCTACGTGCTTATGGGCTGTCTGTGATTTTGACATTTTGCAAGACGGGCTCGTGTGGCACGTACCATTTTGCACGTATTTTGGATGCAGACAGGCCGTAGGAGCCGTACGGCCGGTTGTGACCAAGGTTTCAAATCATATCATGGTTGTCAGGCTGATCTGTTGCTTTCTGTTGTCGTGTTTGGATACACCTATTAGTGCGTGTGTCCATGTGCTTGTTTCAGTCACCTTCAGGGATAGTGGGGGTCACCAGTCTCAAGAACTATTGTATTGGGGGTTGCGGGCTTAAAAGTTTGGGAACCCCCGCTCTACAGGATTAAGTGATGCGTAGAAAATGGAGACTGGATTACTTCCTTTGTTTTGGCCTTATGTATCCTTGTGTCACCAGTCAGCTTTTGTTCGTTGACCTGTTTTCCTTCCAGTAAGTTTCTTTAGTAAAGTGTCTTGCCTGCTTCCTGTGTGCATGTCTGAACTGGGTCTTTGGCTGATGTCCCCTGACATAGACGACAACTGGATTTATGCAAAAGTGCCTGTTCTTAAGAACTGATTAATCCCACCTATGAGACTGTGAACTTTGGGATAGATTTTGTGAATGATTATAAAGTGACAATATATTCAGAAGATTTTGACGATTGTTTCAACCAGACGTACATCTCTGTGAAATGAGCAGCTTAGGACTTTGGACTGTTGCCTGGACAACAAATAAATCTGAACAGAGAAAGTCTTTGCTCGTCGCGAGTGTTTATGTTTACGTGTTACTAAATATGTTTGAATGGTTGATAAGAACGAGTAACTTGTCAAGTCATGTAATACAACAGATCTAGTGACAGAGGAACTTGTCACCATTTTTAAAAAATAGTAAAGTCTGAATAATTCAGACATAGTACTTGTGTGAATGGGTTTCAGCTTCGTGTTAGAGGTGGAGCCAGTTATTGTGGATATTTAGCTCGTTGGCATGTTTAGGTTGCACATGCTGAATTTCCCAGTCTTCTTGCTGCCTCTCCCCCAACTTTTCCATCTCCCTCTTTTTCCCCCAGTCATGTGCACAAGCACGAAGGTGCACAGGACACCCTGACATTATATGGACCGGTCCTAACAACTTTGACCACTTTGCTTGTTTCCCAGTCTCAGAGCCAGGCCTGTGGACAAACACTGGATATTTATGCAAAACACACGATACAAACATAAAGCTAGTTCTTCCTTCTCACATAAACTGTGGGGAAATATTCACTGATTCTCAAGTTATTCGATTAGATTTAGCTACTTTAAATTAAAGGGAAATGAGGTTTACAGGTTCATTTCTTACTCTTAATTTTTATTAGTTTTTTTTTACTTAGAACTCCAGAAACTTTTTTCTTTGCAGCTTTTATATATATATATATATATACACACACACACTATTAAATTATTTAAAATACTTTTTTATTACTTAATGTAAAGTGACTATGATGGGCAGTTATCTTTGATTCATTATGAGCCACAGAAAATATCAGGCTTTACTTGTCGGAAGTTTTTGGCACAAATATCACTGAATGCCATGCTTATCTGACTCATGCATTTCTCGCTACTTCGGACCTAAAACTGTTTAGTCAGGCCATATAAGCAGCATCTATTTGATTCATTCAAACTGAAGGAGCTTGTAGGATTCAGTCATGTTACCTGCCGACAAAACCCTGCAACATAAATACATCTTGTGGCAAGTACATTGAAAATAACTACATGAGGTACAGTCAACATGACTTCAGTACATTCAGCATAGCCTCATGTGCTTACCTCCTCCATTTTTGTAGCAGAGGTAAGGAAACCTCCACACGTTGCCCAGGCCAACGACATTTCCAGCAACAGCCAGGAGAAACTCCACCTTACTTCCCCAGTGTCCTCTCTCCTCCACCTCAGCTTGCATGTCTTTTTGAGCACACTTTCTGTTCAATGTACCCAAAAGTTCAGATTGAGACCAATGTTACTTTTGTCCTGTCATGCTTAGCTTCCAGGGTTCTACGCTTATATATTCACCACTAACTCTGTGTCATGTAATGAGCAACTGCCGAAGCCGTTAATCAGTTTAGTGGAAATGTTAATTATCTCCAGGCTGAGCAGGAATTTTAAACAAACAAACTTTCTTTTGATATATTAATGTGTTCTAATGTATGTTGCAGTACCAAATCTCAGCAGGCCATTCACTGAACTATGTCTGCCAGCCTGTGATTTTTCAGCCCCCTCTTGCCTTAATCCTTATTGTTTCCTACCAACTGCTACCATTACACTCCACTAAAGCTGCTGCACATATACTTCAAATTCAATGTGAGGGTAAAACATGTAAAAACCAGTGGTCACTCATCACATCATGCTTGTGGTCCCTTACATGTGTCAAGTAGTTCAGTTATTGTCACAGTATTACCTTTGACACGTATAAATCACTCCTATTATGATGACACAGTCCTACAGTGTAACACAGAGCTACTATGCTCGGCTGCAACAACCTCAGGGGCGTCACAATCTGGAAACACAAACGTCGAATCACTGGTGAGTCTGGCAGCTACCCATTAGTGATGTGTCATACAGTGAATCAGAAGAGCTCACAGCAAAACTTTGTTTTGATTGGCAGCATGGTGCCTTGTGGCCAATCACGTGTGAGGATTTAGGATCATACCATTATGTGAAAACAGAGAGGGGGACAGACGCGACAGCCAGGTGGATTGTCTGTCCGACCCCTTGGTCAGTGAGTGTGACTGCGACAGACAGCAGTGAGGAGGAAAGTACAAGTCTTTTCTAAATATGATGGGGTGCAGGTGACTCTGCTCGAGTGATGCTCTGGAACAATCTGAGCAAGCATGACACAGACGGTCCCTGAGATCACAAACCTCCCGGCAAAGCCTTAAATTCATGAAGACCTTGCAAATTTAACCAGAGAATCCAGCAATTCCAGTTACCTTTGGACTCACTCTGAGCAAACGATTGGCAACGGTGGGATGGAACCAAAACCCCCCCAAGAAAGGGGGAGAAAAAAAACCTCTGGCAGAACCAGGCTCAGGAAAGGCGCCCATCTGCCTCGACCGGCTGGGTGAGAATGATTAGTTATTTAATAGATGGATACAAATTGACTGTTTTTAAAAGGGAGGTGGTTGGGGAGGAGGAGGAGGAGGAGATTTGTAGATCTGCAGAGGCTGGTGTAGCAGCGATGTGGTGAGCATGAAGCGGGCAGAATGAACGAACGCTGCCTCAGTTATAAAGCAGCTAATTGGGTGTGCTGGACTGCAGCAATCAACGATTGGACAGAAAGGGCCCTGTGACTCCCTGACTCCGGGCCTGTTGGAACTAAGGCGAAGCAAAAACTCTGCCTTGAATTCTCTTTCAACATATACTTGCATCTGTAGACAGTGTCAGCATTTCATTCTTGTTTGATGGGCAAAAATCAACAACATTTGAACATTTTATTTACAATAATGTCAGTTACAAATCCTCATTCATCTCATCTGATGGGGAGACTTGCATCACCTGCAGATAAAACAATGTCTGTCCTCACTCCACAACCAATCATCATACACTAAGATAGTCAGCAAACTGTCTGTTTTCTGTCATCAGAATAGTAATCAAGAGTGGAACTACAAAAAAATGTATGCCTATCAGAAATTAAGATGGCATGGCCTATATTACATACCATCTATCCATCCATCCATCATCCATCCATCATCTCTACACCTTAATCCTCATTAGGGTCATGGGGGGCTGGAGTCTATCCCAGCTGACTCAGGGTGAAGGCAGGTTCACCTGGACAGGTAACCAGTCTATCACAGGGCCCCAATAAATGCAGCTGTAGTTTATGTGTTACTATCTATTGCTGTTGCAATTTCTTCCTTAAATGCTTAAATTCTAGACCTAGTAATTGTCTCAAATCCATCTGATTCACAGTACATAGTTTATTATTTTTAATAAAAGCATATCATTTTTTGTCTGTTACTTGGAAAATTGTGAATAGCTTCGAGGTTGGTGTACATTTTATTAAACTTTATCTACTGAATTACACAAGTCGAATGACATTTGTCATTTTCTGTCTCTATAAAAGATTACAAACACAATCACACAGTCAAAAGTTAAGTGATTCTGTTTCTTTCAGGGACATGGAAAGGAAAAAGCTGCTCCGATAACCATTTCCACATGCAGTGATGTTTTTTCTTTACAAGTGCAGTATCTATGATTAGGATGACACAGCAAAAAGAAACAGACAAGCCTTTGGATTTTAGGCCATGCTAGTATGTCAGCAGTCAGCAGCCCACTCAGTGCCAAATCTAAGTTGTTGAACACATAGATGCAGTTGCTCACGAGTTGAGTATCAGGTGATCGTTCTGTTCTTTCACATCAGCTGGTAGTAAGCTGTTGTTTCCCTCCTGCTTTTGGGTCGGTAAGTTTTCAATGTCAGGCTGGCACAGGTGATGAAAACGCTGTGAAGCAGAGGGAAATATTCACCAGCAGTTCCCAACAAAAGGGCAGGAGAGTAGTTGCATTATAGGTGTTAACTGTGTTGTTGAAACAGTGATACAGTTTATTGCCACTGAAAGAAAACATGTAGACTGTCATCTGCAAATTACCACACTCAGGTGACATGGAGATTAACAATAATTCTAAAAGCTATAACTCATCCAGATGGGACATGAGTTTAGCTTTGATTTTCATTTCATAAACTAACTGTGGACATCATGTCTACTCATGTCCATTTTGTCAAAATGGTCCAGTTTTTATGGAACATTTTCATGAGAAAATTTTGCTTAAAATTACAAATGCATTTGCTTTCCATTACATGAGACACAAACACCTTGTCTTTGTCTTTCATTGGTGACCATAATAGTCAGGTACACAGTTGTCCCACCTGTCTGAGGGTCCCAGTCCCAGTGATCAGCTTATACAATGCACATCCAGGCACAAGCAGGACGGAGGAGAGAGCCAGTAGCCAGCCTAACACATATACCCAGTCTGGGTACACGTACCAGCGATTAAAGGTCAGAGGCTGGTACTCGACTAAAGAATATATAAAAGATCCCTAAGAAAACAAAAAGAGATGGCTTAGTAGTTTGACTTGATTCTGAGCTAGCGAGTGCATTGTAGCACTGAAACACTGAGAGCCTGTCTTACCAGTGACACCAGTGGTGTGAAGTAGAGCCAGCAGATTTTGAAAAACGGGCTGGCGTTCACCCCTGTCATGTCCTTGATGATGCCATACAACCGCTCTGCCCCTTGATGGGAGATATGAGATTGGATGAATGGTGTAAAATTGTCGGGATCCCTGCTTCAGCCCCTGCCTGGCTCTCTCTCCCTCTCCTGTCTCTCTGGTTCCGGGTGCCTGATTACAGGTATTGGATGCAGCTGCAGGGATCGGCTCACAATCACCTCACTGCATAAAGCCCTGTTCATTCCCCCACACCCTGCCTGACCATAGACTCTCATACCCTTTGTTTCTGCCGGTCCCCATTCAATCTCCTGCCTGCTATCTCCGAGCCACTGAACCTGAACCCTCGTGCATCAACAAAACTCTCCACCCAGATCCTTCCCCAGCCAACCTTCTCCTGCCACTGGTCTCCAACCTGTTTCCAGCCAAGCTTTAGTTTATGCGGATTACTTTCCTTAGGTTTCCCCCTTGGTGCTAATTTAGAGTATCTCCTGGTTCTTGTAGTTTTGTCCTTTTTTGTAATGGGTTTAGTTAGTCCTCAGTTCTCTCTTCTCTCACCAAGTTATCTCCACTTATGTTTGTATTTCCCCACTTTTTTTATATTAGCCTGCTCTCTTATGAGTTCAGATCACCTTTATCTGCAAGTTTAAGTCTGTTAGTCAGCTTGGATATCTTCCTTCAGTTCAGTTTCCCTATCCTGCTATGGTTTCAGTTTCATTCTTTTTAAATCAAGCATTTTTAAGCCCTCACCTGTCTGTCTGATCTCTGTCTGCGCCTGGGTTCCCAGAGCCCCTTGTACCAGTAATGATCAGATCAGACCATGTTTGTGAGTCTCTTGGTATAAGGACTTTGCCAATTCTTTCCACCTAAAGATCAGGTTACTAGTCATGGGAACTATTACTTATCCAGTAACAGGGACTGGCTGGTTTTCAGGTAACCATTAGAGACACCAATCAGTTCTCTGCAATGCATATAATAGGTATAAAATTACTCTTTTAAAAACAGCACACCTACCAAATATCCATCCCAGTGCCAGCGTTTCAAACACACAGAGAAAGAGGATGCAGCCTCCATTACAAGCATAGTAGTCCATCATCTGGAACACATACATCCCTCCCTAGGGACAACAGGAGATATATTGATTTAATATAAATTTATTTTCCTTCCTCTAATGTATAAAGGCCTTTTTCAAACAAATATTTTATTACGTTTTGTAAAAATAAAAAATGTCTTGTGAAAACCATTTTTGTCAGGAATACACTCACATACAATATTAGAATATAAAAAAAACTGAAACGGTGTAAAAGAACATTATATACTAACTTCAGTGATCATGACAAGCTGACAGAAGAAGCATATTAAGCAGAAGAAGAGGAGGAACATCTCCCGTCGGCCTGTCCTGCGCATAACGTCAGGAAACATATCAATGACGGACGTCATCACTGCCTCCATGCTGACGAACTGTACAGTGAATGGACAAGACAGAAGACATACATTTTCTAAATATAAATGAAATCTTTCAAAAAAAAAAAAAGACTGCATTCAGACGTGTATTTTACCTGTGTGTCCAGACCCAGGAGAATGACCATGACAAAGAAACAGATGGACCACAGTTGAGGCAGAGGCATCATGGCTACAGCCTGAGGATATGCAATGAACGCCAAGCCTGGACCTGGAAAACATTGGAATGATGCTAGACTGCATGGTCTCCTTCTACTATCTGCTTTTGTTATTTAGGCTATTTAGCAACAAGGACCTTGTAAGGGCAAAGGTCAACAGTCTACCATAATGAAACAATGGGTGTTTGCCAATATAATGAGGGAAGGTGAGATTGGATGATGGGAATGAGTACAAGATATGAGGATGAGGATGGATCGGGACGTTATCTGGGTGACTGATCTGGTGAGACGTGATGGGATGTCGGAAGCTTGGGGAAAGGAGACTGTGCACATGGGTTCCGTCTCAAGCTTTGACAAGCCTATTTTGGACCCCTGATGGTACATGAAAATGGGAGTGAAGAGGAGAAATAAGAGGTGTGGATGAATGAGAAGAGGGAAGTATGGAGGATGAGGTAAGAGGGTGAAAAGATGAGAAAAGGGATTGGGTGTCTTGGGTTCTCTAAGCCCCATCCCCCCAGTGTAATGTAGATAAAGACTAGGGTGGGATGGATATCTTACAGACTGGGACAGAGCGACAGGTTGTGCATGGATAAAGTTGGAGTGAATTCAGAGCACCTCCAGAAGCAAAACCCTGTTTGGCCTGAAAGATGGCGCCTGTGGTGGAAGTTGGATATAAAAAGTGTAAAAAGGAAAGGGGACGGATTTGCAATGAACATGGGTCAAAGGGAGTCCCTTGAGCGCTAAGGCATCAATAGGGGCATCTAAAGGGACAGTTGGGATCAGGAGCTGTTTAGCTTGTTGGCTGTCAAGAAAGTTTTCTTCTGCTCCACAATCAATTAGTGCGTTAACAGGTATGGATTGGGCTTTCCAGCAGAGTGAGGCCATGATTTAAAGGCGATGGGCGGATGTTTTGGAGGTTCAGCTCACCTATATTCCTCCCATTACTGGTGGGCCAGTTCTTTAGCTGGCTGTGTATGGCAGTAGACCTGGTTTTCCACAATACAAGCAGATATTGGCGACCCTTCTCAGCTCCCGTTCCTTCTGAGACAGTTGTGCTTGACCAATGTGGCCATTGGTTCTGGCTCAGATTCTGAGGGCTGAGAGATCACAGAAACCGGATGAATTGGGTGATGAGAGGTTTGTATGGGTTGCTGGTTTTGTTCTCGTCGTTATCGTATCCAATCATCCAGACGTATGGAAAGGAAGCTGTGAGCATCCAGGTCAGCAGCTTCATCTCGGGGGGCGAGTTCACCTTTTATTACTTCGTTCAAACTTTGGTAGAAGACTCCCTGTGATGCTGCATCGTTCCAGCCGCTCTCTGCCGCTAACGTCCAGAACTCCACAGAGAACTCATCCACTCTTTGGTTCCTTTGTTTCAGATAGGTGAGGCGATTCCCAGCTTCCCGACCTTGGCAGGGTGATCAAAGACTTTCTACATTTCAGCCACAAATGTAGAATAAGAAGCACATATCTCAGATTGTCTTAACCACACCGTACGCCACTCCCTTGCCGGGCCCTTCAGTAAGCTTAAGTAAGCTATCTGAGCTCTGTCAGGCGAATACGACAAAGGTTATAAATCAAATACTAGAGACACTTGTGTTAGGGATTCTTGACAAGCACCTAAGTCACCAGCGTCTTGCTACGGAACAGGAACATAAGGCTCATGATTTAACTGGGGCTGAGGAGAGTTAGCAATGGGAGCTGCCACTAGGCAGAATCAGAGGCAGAGGCCATGACATTGTCAGGAAATTGTCAAATTCTGCAACTCTGTCTGCAGGATGGTGAAATTGTATGTTCCTAAATATCTCTGAATGTATACCTGACTCTGCCACTTCTGCAATTGGGACGCCTTGCTCATGTGCCATGAATCCCAGCACTGAGAAGACTGCAAACCCAGCTACAATACTGGTACCACTGTTCAGCAAACACAGCCACAGACAGTCCCTGTACAACACAAAAACGGACAGAGGACTCTTTGATTTCATAGCATGTGACTGAGATTTTTTAAATATAATGTTGCGCAACTCTTTTCTTGCATTTTCACGATTCAAGATTCATGATCTTGAATCTGTCAGAAATGTTGATGTTTTTCAGAGAGCCCTGAGATAAACATTAAACCCACTCACACATGGATAACTGCTTACTTATAGCAATTGTTGTTGTACTTGTTGTAGCTTCCGAGCACAGTTAGGCATCCCACACCGACACTGTACGAGAAGAAGATCTGAGACCCAGCCTCCATCCACACCTGTTCCAACAGCAACAGTCAGTACATTTGTCCACCTGCACTGTTACAATACATCACGAAGCATCTACCTGAGGATCTGTGAGGCGGGAGGGTTCAGGCAGAAGGTAAAACTTCACTCCTTGTAGTGCACCAGGAAGGGTGAGTCCACGAATGAGAAGAATTAACAGCATGACATAGGGGAAGGTAGCCGTGAAATACACCACCTGGAAAAAGAAATACATTTAAAGAATTTTCGAGTATACTTTGTCATCATTCGATACCATTTTGTGGTCTATATAAGTACCTTCCCTGTGGACTTGACCCCTTTCCAGATACAAAAGTAGCAGGTGATCCACATAGCAATTGCACACAACATCACCTCCCACCTGATGCTGCCGATCTCCTCAATGCCCCCTGAGATAGCCAGCACACGGCGTCTGGAAGCAAAAGGAAGAGTTTCTTTGTCTTTGTAATTGTTAATTAAATAATAACTTGGAATGTGAGGAACATTCTGGAGGCTTTGTTTCTTTGTCTGCACAGACATACTCCCAGAATTCTGTGGCTGCAGAGGTCGAATTCGTCTGGTTGGTCCACGGAACGCTGGCGTTTTTTATTGAAAAGTCTACACAGTCATCTAAAAAGAGGGAGGAAAGAAAGAGATTTAAAACTTGTCAAGTCTGATGAAGGTTTTATACGCAATGCAGCTACTGGGTTAAGGGCATACTGTTCTGTGGTTTAGTTCCATTGTTTCACATGTTGGAAAGATTTCTTCGCCAAGTAAAAAAAAACCAAAACAATTCTTTGTCTATGTTTGATATCATGCATCGTGCAAATATAAATGAGTCTCCTGTCACAAAACCCTTAATGCATCAGACAGTGAAACAATCTTTGCATTTTACCTGTGTTCCAGTAGTTGTTGCAGCTGGCCCAGGGCAGCTGGGAGCTGAAGGAGAACACAAGGTAGAGCAAAGCCCAGGACAGTATGATAATGTAGGTTGTAATGCTGTAGAGGATAATCAGCTGCCCGGCATAGCCAATACCTGTAGGGCCAGATTTGACATTTACTGTTGCAGACAAACCTGCATTTATCCATTATCCACCCTGTTTGTTGTTCAGAATCACAAGAACCTGACTGACCAGCTACTTGAACTGTTTAGTCATTCTTAGGAATAGAGTTTAAAGATAACAAGACATTTTAAAAAATGCAAATTAAAACATAGAACATAGAAAGTATAAAACTGTTTTCTGAGTTTACAAGTAAATGTATTTCAGACTGGACACTTCCTTAGATTTAGCCATTTATGAAGCTTCGTGCTAGCAGAGTGCAGGCATGGAGTCAGGGCGTCACAAGGCCCTTTCTGTCCAATTGTTCACTGCTTCAGTCCAGCCCACCCACGGAGCATGCTTTAGGCTGTTCATCCTGCTGCTCCACGCTCACATCGCTGCTACACCAGCCTGTGTACATCGGCAAATCTTCGCTACTGTTCATCTCGTCTTCAGAGATCCTTCACGCAGGAAACAAACCCAGTGTTTGGACGTTTGTTTCTACTTTCTGACCAAGATTATTCGCGGGCAGGTCCATCCGTCTTCAGTGTGGGATCACAGTGTTCAAACCAAAGGGGGCCAGCATTGCAGAAGTCGTCAGTGACGTGTCCTAAATCTCAGGTGTTGGTCAGAGTGCCGTCACTCTGGAAAATCACCTTTCATCATCCTCAGACAATTTTAAAATCCAGTAACAGCTTCCAGCAATCAAATCCCACCTCAAAGCGACATAAGTCACAACGAACTTTTGATCTGCTTCGGCTACACCAGTTCATAGCTTCAAATCCACATTGTGTCTCATCACTTTACATTTTCTTGGTGCAAAGCCTGTTCTCACTTACGGTCTGAGTGTTTAGTCTATATGTAGATACCGTCTTAGAACAGTCCTTCTCGTGGCCTATAGTGTTTCTTGCAGAGGTTCAGTTCACTCATTGAGAAATTATATTCCATGCATGACCTTACTATATCTGTCTTCTCTTAAGATTAGCATCAGCATCCATCAACTTTAGGCCTTCAAAGTTAATTAATATTATAAGATGCTCCGATCTTCATTGCCAGCTCTCATATGCTTCTGTTCCTTCTTTTCTATGATCCATGCCTGGATGGTTAACTGATGCAAGCTGAGATGAGCCTCAGCAACATGAACTCTGGAAGGCCTTGCCCAGGCCTTGGTTTGCTTGCCTTCACCTCCCATGCCAACACCGTGGTGTCTCCCCTAATCTATTCCTTTTGCTCATACTCCGCAGCATATGAACATTTTTTTCACCTAAATACATGAATATTGCTCCAGGCCACGAATAGTTCATATTATATATGATCTGTGATGACTGCATATCATTGTGACACCGTTTAATATAAGTTCATGAAGGTTGTATTCTGACTGAATAGATGCAGAGAGGTGTGCTTGCAGTCCTCTTTGATAACAGGCAGAAGTTGGGAAATTAAACCTTTAAAAGGTGGCGGTTGAGGAGGAGGAGCTGATTGCCGGATTTGTAGAGGCTGGTGTAGCATCGATGTGGTGAGCGTGGAGTGAGCATTGGTTATGAAGCATGCTGTGGGCTGGACTGAAGTGAAC